CATGACAAAGGTCCAAGTCAAATCCAGGTCTGTCAGCTTCAACACTTTAGGCATCATGACACAGTGAATGTTCAGGGAGTACCACCTTTCCCAGACCAATAACTAACCAGGAAGAAGGGTTCTGGAACTATCAAAATGCCATTTCAAAACAATAATAAAAAATAATACTTTTAGTATCTGAGAAGCCTTACTATGTATGAGGGACTGTTTTAACGCTTTTTTCTACAGTTCTCCCCATTATACCTCACTCATTCAAGCATACAGGATGAATATTCCCATTCTACGGATGTGAAAATTGAAATACAGAATTGTAGAAGCCTGGCGGTAACCAGAACAGAAGTTACAAGATCATTTCCAACCTAAGCATTCTTAGGGAGTGGGTAAACCAGCAGCCAGTTCGTCAGTACACACTGGTGCTTTGTTGTCCCCCTCCCTGCCCTGCCCCCAAGCAAAGCTTGCTGAAGAGCCAGGTGCAGCTGGAGCTGAGTGTTCCTGGCCTGTGATTGGCTGCCATCCTTTGTGGTTAACCCTCGATGGTGGGGGAAGCTGGGAAGGACAGTGCAGGCTGATAAATAACACAACAGTTGGCTCTGAAGGACAAGAAAGCCAGGAGGGAGAAGAGAACACACTTTACTTTCTCTCTGGCATTGAATAGTATCAGCCAAACTGCAGACATCCAACCTCACTGTAGCCAGGCAGCCTGCTGAGCAAGGTAACACTTATACTTTTCATCCCTTGAGCCAAAATATTTATTACTTTCATATGTTTTTAATTAGAAGTACTTGGCCTTTTCTCTTGCAGGTGATGAGGGAGAAAGCTGGGAAGCTGACAATTTGGTCTTTATTTCTTGTGCATGAAAATTAAAAAGGAGTAAGAGACCAAGATCTAAGACAACAAAGATTAAGAGAAAAAGAAGGAAAATTTCTGAATTGCTCTGAGTGGAAATTGCTGGCAGAGCATAGGTTTAAGGAATTCTTCTTGGTGAACACATGAACAAATTAGCAGAAGGCGAATTGTGAGACTAGCAAAAGAAATTCTGCTGGTCCCACCAAGAACAATCCTTGAGAGTAAACAAATTCTAGGGTGGGGAGATATGCATAGTTTCCCTAGTATTGCTGAATATTGCCAGGCATTTCCTGAGCTTGTTTGTACCATTTGGGAGGCCAGTGTTTCTTCAAATGTGGCCTGTGGGCCAGCCACAAGTCTCAGGATCACTGGGATAGTCTCTGGACTCCATCCCAGAATAAAATTCAGCCTCTCTGGGATCTGCTGATCTATGTTTCTTGATAAAAATGATCTACATTAAGAATTCCTATTGTAAAGAACCTGATTTGTGGTTCTGTTCTTGAGCCAACATGTCAGATCCCGGATGGTGGCAGGATATTTCACTGTATGCCACGGTTCAAGCAAGGAGTTGTCTCTGGAAAAGCAAAAGTTTAAGGGTCTGTTGTCTGAGACTTACAGAAAGGCTTTGGATGCTGCCAATCTTTTGATGGTGTGGTGTTTGGCATATAGCAGACAATAGTGTCCGTGGAATTAACAGGTGAATGAGAAGGACAGGTGTCATGGAAGAGAAGCATCAGCCAAGGGTGGTAGTTGGATTTGAGATCCAGTGGAAACACTTGGGAATTCGGTACAGACCAAGGCAATTATGTTAAAAGGGGAGATGGTGGATGGAGCAATGGGATGTGTATGTGTGCTGGTAGCAGGTGGAGTGCGGATGGAGCTGCACACCGCGGGGCCCAGCCTCCTGAAGTAACAAATGGTCATAGCACCCCGTTATAGTTTCTACCTCATCTAAACCACGGCAGGCTGATTGTTAAAAGGAATCTGTACCCTGTAGCAGTGATGACAATGTGGAGATGGCAATGTCTGGTGGGTCAGGGCGTAACCAGCACAAGCTCCACAGCTTTTAGATTCTTAGGTGGTTCTTCTGCTAAGCAGTAACACCACTTGTCAGATTTCTAACTATGATGTCTACAGGTCCAAATTGGAATTTGTGTTCTATACACTTGCCAAAAAACAAGGCACCTTAAAAGATGGTGATCAGTTTTTTAGAGTTAGCCAGGACTTAAACTTTTCTGAAAGAAATTTAGAAAGAAACGTGTAAAAGTGACAATAGGGTGTATGTAAACCTAATATTGAAAACGGTTTTTATCCACAATGAACTGGTCAAAATTTTTCATGTCGGTTATGAAAAATTCAAATGATATAAAGATGAGTGAAATATAAAGTTCAAGATAGATTTCCTACAGTATCAATTCTATTTTCTGGAGACAAAACACTCTTCTATAAGGGTTTAGTGCCTAACCTGTCAGAATTTCCATCCTTTCATATACACAGAATTCAAGTGTACTGCTTAAATGGTCCTGCTATTTTGTCTGCTTTTTCATGTAGACATCTTTACATGTCATTGATTCATGTAGAAATCGCACAGATATCAATGTCTACTCAAAAATTTAATCTTCTGTGTCATTTCATTTGTCTATCCGTCTAATTTAATGATGCCTCTTTTGTAATTAGATTATTTCCCATTTTTCCCAACAATCTTTTAAACAAATCTCTTTCCCTACATTCATATAAATACCACTGTATGCTTGTGGGAACGTTTTTACAAAATAAATATGGAATAATATTCTAAAAGCAGATTTATTACACCAAAGATAATGTATTTAAACTTTTAAAGGGACGTTGCTAAATTTTTCTCTAGATATTTTATACCAATTTATATTCCATGCTTTCCTTCATGCTGAGTGATATCAATAGTTTTGATCTTTAGTAATGTGATAGATAAGAGAAGAATTCACTAGATCTCGTTCTTGGAAGTTCTGTTCTTTCAAAAGATAGATTTATCTTGATGAAGATACATTTATTTTGAGGAATAAACATCACAAATAAAGATTAAAAAAATCTACTCTTATATACCTTCACAGGTAACATTCCTGGCATCCAAGAGTACATTTTCCTAAAAATAATAAGCATAACACATTCCTTACATTTCTCTCTTATTTATCGTTTGGCTAAACATTATCACGGTTAAATGAATACATTTGATTAGAATATCAATAGCTGATAACTGTTTGGTTGTGACACTTTTTCATGTTAGTATTAAAGAATGGTTTGGCAGAGTTTATTGTAATATTTCAGCTCGTGGGTAATAGAGGAGGAATGTGGAGGGAGAGGAGATAGTTGCCAACAAGCTCTGTGGTTGACTTAAGGCACTATTTATATTGTAGTTGATGAACTCAAGATAAAGTCATAGACTTTTTTAAAATAATAATTTCTCAAAAGTTTGTCTTGCAAGGTCAAAAGAACAGGCGCATAAGGAAAAGGCTGGAGAGTGAAAACAGTAAAGCAATTAAAAGGCATATGGGGTTGAATTCCAGATTATGAGGCAGAAGAGGCGGGAAAGTCCCAGTACCCACTAGGGGGCAGTATTAAGGAATCTGACCAAGCTGTAAGCATCTCTGGAGGACTTGTTGGGCTGCAGTTGAAATGTTTTTGATGTTACTGAGACCTTTAAAATGGTTTAGAATTATGAAATACTGCCCATGGAGTAATCTAAAGGAGTCATATAAATTTGCTTTTCATTTTTGTTAAAAAAAAAAGAACTCCCGTCATTCTAATGAATATTGCATGCAAGATGGAACAAACTTCAGTAGTTCTTTAAAGGGACAACTTTTGCTAGTGGTGGTCAGTGTTTCTGCCATCATTCTCTCCTTGCTGCCTCCACAATGACAGTCCCACAACGGTCAAAATGTGATCAACTGAGTATTTTTTCCTTGACTGCCAAAAAGCCTTCATCAATGTGGCTTTTTGGGAGAATACTGTATATTGCTAGAAATAATTGGAGAGTCAAAAGGGGTAGCCTAGGCAAAATTGAGAGGTGCAGATGGACTCATAGGTTGAAAATACAGTTGCCATTTTTCCAATTGTACGTGCTAAAGGATTTAGGCAAGGGTAGGCTACCTGGGTTTAGCGAGTATCAGATCACATTGTCAGAATTTTGCCTACATTACTATTGATGCTCACTTTACAACTCAGACTAGTAGAGTTCCTGGGCTTATCCAATTTTCTTTTTAGGAAGAAAAACATTCCTCTTTACCTCTTCTTATTACAAATACTCCAGTTAATGACTGCTGACCAGAAATGACTCTCAGAATGGCTTGTGTGGGTTCTATGTGAAAGCCCTGGAATTTTTCAATTTAAAAGTTCTTCTGTGTCTTGGCCAAGGAATGCTGTGGTTTGTTGTAGGTTTAGAGCTCAGTAGTTTTTATCTCTAATGTAGACACAGCCTTATAATTTACAATATCATTCATTAATTGAAATTGTAAGCGTAATTACTATCCATGATACTTATTATTAGTTTGCATCCATAAAGCGCAAAATTCACTTCATCCTTTCAACTACTGAGTAATTAGTTTCTTTGAGTTCGTAGCTTTATCATTCCTTTATGATCCATTTGGAAGAAATAAACAATCAAGCTCCCAGAACACTTGCTTTAAAAAGCTAGAAATATATTGCACAGCTATAGTGTGCAATATAGTGCAATAAGGCTAATACAAGATAGAAAAATTACTTTCCTTTGTTTTTTTTTTTGTAGAAAGTTTATCTTTGCTTTTGCTCAGCAAATAACTATTGAGAACCTAATGTTTACCAGGAAGTGTTGGGACAGAACGATGAATGACTTAGAAGTTCTATCTTTAAAGAAGTTTTTGTGACAAGGAAATAAGACTGTATATATGTATATTCATCTATGTCTGTATATAAAAACTACATAGTATATATGGTATAAATATGATAAGCATTGTCAAAATAGGAAATAACTCTATTTTTGTGGACCTATGATCAATACCTAACAATATATTCAAGTAGAGATTTAGTAAGTACACATTGGATTGAATTAACTAATGAATACATGGATGTGTTAATACATTCATGAGATAGTTGAATTTTTTCTTATCTTGTCTGTTTTCCTGTACCCAGGTAATTCAGCCAGTATGGCTGTGTCTTTGCCACCCACTCTGGGACTCAGTTCTGCCCCAGATGAAATTCAGCATCCACATCTGAAATTTTCAGAATGGAAATTCAAGCTGTTCAGGGTAAGATCCTTTGAAAAACCTCCTGAAGAAGCTCAAAAAGAGAAGAAGGATTCCTCCGAGGGGAAGCCTTTTCTAGAGCAATCTCCAGCAATCCAGGACAAGACTAATGGTCAGACGCCAGAGCCGACACCACCAACATTCAAGCTCCACCCTAAGTTTTCAAAGAAATTCCACGATGATGGGAAGGCAAGAGACAAAGCAATCCACCAAGCCAACCTCCGACATCTCTGCCGCATCTGTGGGAATTCTTTTAAAACTGACAAACACAGCAGGAGATACCCTGTGCATGGGCCTGTGGATAGTAAAACTCGAAACCTTTTACGGAAGAAGGAGAAGAGAGCCACTTCCTGGCCAGATCTCATTGCCAAGGTTTTCCGGATCGATGTGAAGGCAGATGTTGACTCAATCCACCCTACTGAGTTCTGTCATAACTGCTGGCGTATCATGTATAGGAAGTTTAGCAGTGCTCCACGTGAGGTTTACTTCCCGAGGAGTGCAACCATGGAGTGGCAACCCCATGCCCCATCCTGTGACATCTGCTATACTGCCCATCGGAGACTCAAGAGGAGGAATCATCAGTCAAATGTGCAGCTCAGCAAAAAACTCAAAGCTGTGCGTGACCAAGCAAGACAATGCCATCAGAGCAAGAGAAGAGCTCAGGCAAGAATCACCAACAAGGACATGATGAAGAAGATTGCCAATTGCAGTCAGATACATCTTAGTACCAAGTTCCTTGCAGTGGACTTCCCAGCACCCTTTGTGAAATCTATTTCCTGCCAGATTTGTGAACATATTCTGGCTGACCCTGTGGAGACCAGCTGCAAGCATGTGTTTTGCAGGGTCTGCATTCTGAGATGCCTCAAAGTCATGGGCAGCTATTGTCCCTCTTGCCAATATCCATGCTTCCCTACTGATCTGGAAAGTCCGGTGAAGTCGTTTCTGTGTATCCTGAATTCCTTGATGGTGAAATGTCCAGCACAAGAGTGTCATGAAGAGGTAAGCTTGGAAAAATACAATCACCACGTTTCCAGCCACAGGGAAGCCAAAGAAACTTTGGTGCATGTTAATAAAGGGGGCCGCCCCCGTCAGCATCTCCTGTCACTGACCCGGAGAGCTCAGAAGCACCGGCTGAGGGAGTTGAAGTTACAAGTCAAGGCCTTTGCTGACAAAGAAGAAGGTGGAGATGTGAAGGCTGTGTGCCTGACCTTGTTCCTGCTGGCGCTGAGGGCCAGGAATGAGCACAGACAAGCTGATGAGCTGGAGGCCATCATGCAGGGTCGTGGCTCTGGCCTCCAGCCAGCTGTTTGCTTGGCCATCCGTGTCAACACCTTCCTCAGCTGCAGTCAGTACCACAAGATGTACAGGACTGTGAAAGCCATCACAGGGAGGCAGATTTTTCAGCCCTTGCATGCTCTTCGCAACGCTGAGAAGGTCCTTCTGCCAGGCTACCACCCCTTTGAGTGGAGGCCCCCTCTGAAGAATGTATCTTCCAGTACTGATGTCGGCATTATTGATGGGCTGTCTGGACTCTCCTCCTCTGTGGATGATTACCCAGTGGACACTATTGCAAAGAGGTTCCGCTATGATGCGGCATTGGTGTCGGCTTTGATGGACATGGAAGAAGACATCTTGCAAGGCATGAAGTCCCAAGACCTTGATGACTACTTGAATGGCCCGTTCACTGTAGTGGTGAAGGAGTCTTGTGATGGAATGGGAGATGTGAGTGAGAAACATGGGAGTGGGCCAGTAGTTCCTGAGAAGGCAGTTCGTTTTTCATTCACAGTCATGAAAATTACCATAGCGCATGGATCACAGAACGTGAAGGTGTTTGAGGAAGCCAAACCTAACTCAGAACTGTGTTGCAAACCATTGTGCCTCATGCTGGCAGATGAGTCTGACCACGAGACCCTGACTGCCATTCTGAGCCCTCTCATTGCTGAGAGGGAGGCCATGAAGAGCAGCGAATTAATGCTTGAGATGGGAGGTATCCTCAGAACCTTCAAGTTTATCTTCAGGGGCACTGGATACGATGAAAAGCTTGTCAGGGAAGTGGAAGGCCTCGAGGCTTCAGGCTCTGTCTACATTTGTACTCTCTGTGATGCCACCCGCCTGGAAGCTTCTCAAAATCTTGTCTTCCATTCTATAACCAGAAGCCATGCTGAGAACCTGGAACGCTACGAGGTCTGGCGTTCCAACCCATACCATGAGTCCGTGGAAGAACTGCGGGATCGAGTAAAAGGGGTCTCAGCCAAACCTTTCATTGAGACAGTCCCTTCCATAGATGCACTCCACTGTGACATTGGCAATGCAGCAGAGTTCTACAAGATCTTCCAGCTAGAGATAGGGGAGGTATATAAGAATCCCAATGCCACCAAGGAGGAAAGGAAAAGATGGCAGGCCACACTGGATAAGCATCTTAGGAAGAAGATGAACCTGAAGCCAATCATGCGGATGAATGGCAACTTTGCAAGGAAGCTCATGACCATGGAGACTGTGGAGGCAGTGTGCGAGCTAATTCCATCCGGGGAGAGGCACGAAGCTCTCCGGGAGCTGATGGAGCTTTACCTGAAGATGAAACCTGTGTGGCGTTCTTCCTGTCCAGCTAAAGAGTGCCCAGAATCCCTTTGCCAGTACAGTTTCAACTCACAGCGTTTTGCTGAGCTTCTCTCTACCAAGTTCAAGTATAGATATGAGGGCAAAATCACCAATTATTTTCACAAAACCCTGGCCCACGTGCCTGAAATTATTGAACGGGATGGCTCTATTGGGGCTTGGGCAAGTGAAGGAAATGAATCCGGCAACAAACTGTTCCGACGCTTCCGGAAAATGAATGCCAGGCAATCCAAGTGCTATGAAATGGAAGATGTCCTGAAACACCACTGGTTGTACACCTCCAAATACCTCCAGAAGTTTATGAATGCTCATAACACATTAAAAAATTCTGGATTTGCCATGAACTCACAAACAAGCTTAGAAGACCCACTGGGCATAGAGGACTCTATGGAAGGCCAAGATTCAATGGAGTTTTAAAGAGGAAACCCGTTGGTTTTTGCAGTTTTCCTCTGAGTGGCATTAAAGGCTTCTCCTACCACCCTTCACTACCGTGTGAGGGGCTTCGCCACCCAAGAGGTGGTAGGTTGCAGGGAGAAGTCACCGATGCTGTAGCCATGCCAGGCAGGAATGGTTACTGAGGCATTGGTTGCTTGAATCGTTCAGTGAGTTCAGAGAAGCAAAAGGAGAGATTAGTTATTTGAAAGCTCAATAACTCAGAGCAGAAGGAACTGCAGGGGACCAGAAATGAGCAAAGATATGTGTTCATGCATGATTGAGTGACATGAAAATCAAAGTCAGGCTTGTGAAAGAGCAGCCAGTGAGGCCAGCAAAGGAATTTGTCTTGTGATTTTCATTTTCTCTCCTTTATGATTTATTACATTTTGTTTCGTGATATAGTATTTTTTAACCCCATTTTTGTCAGACTTTCTAAGAAATTAATTTAACATATGGTGGCTTATGCTACAAGATTCTAAAGAACTTTTTGTTGATTTTTCAGATAATAACTTACATTTGTATGGCACAGTGACCATTGTGAAGGACTCTAAACACATTTTCATATGTATGCATATCCTACATCAAGAAAAATTTTGGGAACCCAGTTAGTCTTTTCTGAGCTTTAAATGATAGCTTGACTGTGACCTTTGGAGAGTAAAACAACTTTTGTGCTCAAGAATTTTTTTTCAATAATGGAGTTAGAAGAATATACCTGTTACCTAGAGCTAGCTATTAAATCTCCTGCCACTATTTGTCCATAGTTACTTAGTTATTGGTAGCCAAATATGAATTTTTTTATTTGTACTTTTACTTTAAAGGAATTTGGAAACTGAAATATTTTTCTATACAATCTCAAGGCCACAGAGGCTTTTAAAAATTTGATTTTGTTTACTGCCTATAAATAAATTTAATAGGTTTTTTTTCTCTATGTGGAATCCGGTTTATTAAATCCACATTTCAGAGAATACTTTATCTTTGAAAAATTGTATTCTTTTAATTTTCAAAAAAATTTCAATATTTTCAGATTCCTGTAAACTTTGTACTAAGTTAATTTTGTGAGCTTAATGGATGACACTTCCTAAGGCACAGAGGAAGAGCTGCCATTTTGCAATGTTTTTGTTTGTTTTATGTTTTGTTACTTTGGGAATGTTTTACACTCGATCTCTTTTTACCTCATGTTAACTTTGTGAAGTAGATGTCATTATTTCCAGTTGATAAGGGGATACATGTCTACGGCCATAGCACCCTGAACGCACCCGATCTCGTCTGATAAGGGGATACATGAGTTTTCCTAAAGTCACAGGGATTTTGGAAATTTGCTCTGGAATTTGGACTCAGGCATTTAGTTCCCAAATTCCATGTTCTTTTATTATCACAAAAGTTAGTCACTATGTTTAGCTATGTGATTGCATTAGAATTTGTTTAGGATTCAGAAGTAACCATTAGACTTCATAACTTGAGGATTACATTTTTTGAAGCTGGGTTGGGAGAGTTTTGAAGTATCTGTATGCTTTGGGCCTTTAACAGGAAAAAGCGAAAGCTCTTCACCACTCCCAGTCCTTTGAAAACTATTGTCTGTATCTTCAGGAATTTGGGATATGCCAGTTGCTGGCAATTTAGAGCAGGCTTGGGATTTTACATGACAGTGATTCATAATGATATGTTAGTGTTAATTAGTTTTCTCCTTGCTTTGATTTTACTGGCCGTAATTGCCACTCTTCATACAGTGTATCAAAGAGCTTTGTAATTTAGTCATTGAATGCACATCAGTGACATTACCCTAAGTGGTGTGCATTTGGTATTTTGCAAGGGTTGAACTCAATATTTTCTTTTTAAAAATACAGCAGTTTTCTTTGATTTTTTTTAATAAACAGAATGACATTCGTAATTTAATTGTGAAAAACTTACATATTTGTATATCGCTTTTTCTTGAAAAATTCTTTATTTTGCATTTAGGAAATTAACAGATTTTAAGTCACTCCTCCCCTTTATCCTGCTTAATGCTGACAGCATGTTGGCGTTGTGCTCTGCATGAATCAACAGCTAAATTCACATAATCACATCACGGCCTGAAAGCTGCTGGCACAGGTTTGTAGATCCCTCCCTTCTGTCACCTAGTTCCTTCCCATTTTGTGATTTGATTGGTGGCACTGTAAATACTTTCCAATATTAATTTCCCCTTTTATAGTGCTATAGGAACTATTTTCAGTGCATGGGCCTAAGAACATGATTTATGGCACAACATTCCCAATAATCTCTTAATCAGATCACATGCTGATAAATCCCCGGAACATCTGGCTGCAGGAATTTCAAAATGTAGGAATGCTGCCTGTGGTTGTCTTTGGCCCTCATTGTTAAGATTGTGATATCCTAGTCCCTGGTTCTATGCTCAAACTTTATTTTTAACAATGCCCGTTGAAAATACAGCCATGCACCCCAGGGAAATTCACAGCACTGAATGGAGCATTTTTTTGAAGTATAGACTGTGACTTTAGAAGTGCAATGCATTTTTCTCCCGTGAAACTTGATTCTACACGTTTTCCTGCCAACCCACTGAGGTGCACTGTAGGGACCAGTGATAATGGCTGATGAAAATTGATGAATGGTTGGTGCGAGGTCAAAAAGCTCCTTGGGATTAATAAACATGCATTGAGAAGTCAGAGTGGGAGGAAAGATGTCTTTTCCTTCAGGTGAACTGGAATTTAGCTTTGCCTCAATTTGTTTTCTGAAAATATAGATGGAGATAGAGATTTTTTTTTTTTAGTTGAGCGTATGAGTCTTGTATTATATCAAACAGCGTTAAAATTCCACTCAGCTAGGAGGAAGGATTTGAACGCCCCTCAGGTGGTTTGGAGAACAACTCATCATTTGGATAAGAGAAGTTTTGGACTGCAGATACGTGTATGTCTTTAGTAATTGTATGAGAGATGGTCTACTTCCTTAGTGTTATTAATTTTTAAGTAAGCGTGGATACTTTATACACATTTGGCCTTTTTCTGTTTATAATAATCTGCATACATATACCTCAGAATTCACTTTGGGTGAGCTGTTGGGCACTTCACTTTATTTTATTACCACAGAATATTTACATTTTGTTTAATGGCTTTGAAGAGCCTTTATTTGTTTTTCTGTTTCAGGGGAAGTTCAGGTGCCAGGATGCAATGAATTTACTTGATGCACAAAGGACCTGTGTTTCCATGTCAAATGTTTTCAAAATGTGTGAACTATGCGTTTCAAATATTGTCATATTTTAATATTTCCATTTATTACTATTATGGTTATTATTAATTTTATGTTTAAGTATTGAAATAAAATTTAAGAACTAAAAATAGTCTGTTGTGATTTATACTGTGATGCTGTCATTTATAAATAGAGCTAGTACAGTATTTAAAAACAAGCCTCTTTTTCTCCTTGGGGGGAAATACACTATAAATTCAGTGGCATTTGGAATAAAGAGCAATTGCATAGGGAGATAGAATATGACTTATTCTAATTTAAGGTAACACAACTATTTTCCTTTTGGAAGAGCAAATGACAAACCTTTTAAGTTGTTTTTAAAAACTCATCTGAGAATGTTATGAAAATATAGGTTTATTCTCCAGAAAATTTGTATCATTGTCTACCTAAAGACTTGGTTTGAGATGTTGACTTACCTAGAGCACTCAGGTTATGGCGCATCTGGCTATAGTCCAGGTTTTTCCTGTCCAGGAATTTTAGTAATAAACAGATAAAAACAGCTACTGTTTACCAAACATTTGTATATGTGTATATGGTAAGCATTTCACGTGTATTTTCTCATTGGTCCATCCAAAGTGGGCACTTTGATGATCTCCATATTACTCACGAGCTCAGGGAAGAGAACGGCAGAAGCCCATCATTACAGCTATTTCTTCTAGCTTGCCTCTGTTTTACTCCATCTCCTCACTGCACACATGTCGCTTAGCATCTCAGTCCCTCTTTGCTGGAGAGTTCCAGGCTTGCATCTACTTACAGCTGAGATTGACTGACTTTGTACAACTATAACAGTTTTTAAAATATAGCAATATTCTTGTCCTTGCAGGTAAGTAGCCTACCCTTTATGGCCCAAGTACCCTATGCTTCCATGGCTGTCTGAATCCATCCTCCAAGAACAAATCCAGCAGGTCAACTCCTGGCAAAGAGACGGGGACTTTCCAGACCTAGAGTTTTGTCTGTTTCAGAGTGACTCCTGCTATTGAAAATGTAACAACTCCTTCTCTTCTAAGGGCCAGTTAAGGGTTCTTTCTTTCTCAGTTCCATTCCTAGTCCCTCCAACCTGTACTTTAAGCAAATATTATCAGAATGCCTTCTCTGAGCAGATACTGGAGACACAGCAATGAACAACATAGGCTTTGCTCAAAGGAATGACAGAGGTGTAGATATTAAATCAACAACTCTAGCAACTATGTGGCAATGCACTAACAGGTGTCATGAAGGGAAAATATTAGATGTGATCAGAATTGTGTAGACATACTCTGAAGTAAAATAGGGCAACTGAAGGTCAGTAGGGGAGACATGGAAATCTCCCTGAAGGAAGAAACATGTGTGTGGAGACTGGTGATATGAGTGGTATGATGTGAAGTGAGCTCGGGATGGCCGACTTGAGCAGATTCAGCCTATAGGGATTAGGTTTAGATTCAAAGCACACTCAATGTAGCAGGAAGAGGCAGCTTGGGCAAAAGAGGGGCTTCAGGAGAGTGCTGAGTGAGGCAGATACTTCATCACACAGGAAGGACCAAGTGACCTACCAGGGAATTTGAATCCCACCCCACATTCAAAAACAGGTGTTTGCAAGTGATGGTGCTGCATGCCACGCCACGAATGGAGCGCAAGCAGAAAGCATAATGTGGGAGGAAATTTGTTGAAATTTGAGAAGATTATACATGGAAGTTTAAATGATGGTTTTCTTTTTTACTTCAGGACATGTCTTTGCATTGCCTTCTAATCTTTGTCTTGCTCTTAAA